TAATAGTCTGAGGAGCTCAGCTGCGTCTTTAGCTGCTGTTAGACCTCTGCAGGCTCCACCTGATGATTGTTCTTAAAGCTCAGCTCCCAGCCAGCTGATGACTATGGAGGGTTTAGTCCTCACCCACAGACATGTTTCTAACAGTGACTCCATGTTTCAGCTTGAATGGATCAGAACACTAGATGTTCTCTGATCATTTCAGCTCCTGATGCAGCAGAAGATCTCTGCAGCTCTGCAGACATGAACATGTCCCCTCCTACCTGCTTGGAGGCCTCTGCTTCCATCAAGGCTGTAGAAATAGATCTGGCTTTGGACAGCAGCTCTGTTCCTGGATCAGTGGTTCTGTATTCACAGACCGACCAGAACTTGATGTCTTCCTCCCTGAACTCTGTCCTGAGGAACTGAGAGAAGGTTTCCATCCCATCTGACAGAAGAAAAACACAATGACAGAAACACTGAACGGATCTGCTTCTGGAACTATTAAACTCATTGGTTTATGGTCAGAATCAGAAGCAGCTTAATGTCCAAAGTTTCTGCTCCCAAACAGTGAATGAAGTTTCTGCTCCTCTTTGCTCTCCATGACGTTTGAACAAAGCATAGAAAATGTTGTGTAATGATTGTTAGCAGGGAAGCAAACAGAGTGGCTCCAAACTCTGATGAACAGATTGATGAAAACTTTCTGCTCTACATTTAACAGGGAAGCTCAGATCAGCTTCTTTTATTCAATTCATTCAGATCCTAAAACTCCTTCAAGCTCTGAATTGTTTTCTTCTTTTAGAATCAGAACCAGAATATTTTAGCAGGAATCAAAAACAAAGACTTTAGTTTGAAGCGTCCACAGAATACAGACATCTGGTATAAATATGCAACATGAAAAAGAAATGAATGAAAGGATGAAAGGAGCAGTAGGTTTCTAGATGTGGATGAGCGGCCATTTTGTTAGTAGACTCTGGTTGTTTTGATGATAAACAGGAAAGTGGACGACCACAGAGCTGCTAGTCTGTTAAACAGAACAACCACAGCCTGCAGACACAGACGCTCCAATATGTTAACCTGGGTCCTCACTGACTCCTTTAAACACACCAAGGCACTGGATTAACTGGATTATATCAAGATTATCTCCTATGATTCGTCTTTCAAATATATTGGAATCATTATTGTTTTATAGAAACCTTCCTTATTTCTCTTTAACACTATTGTACTTTTTAATTGACCTTAAATTCCTCATATCAATAATATATAATAAATAATATTTATCAGGAATGTAATTCAATCTTTGCTCTGTCATGTTTCATGTCTCCAGCCATCTCCACAAATAATCCAAAGGTTGAATCATTTTTAAAATGCTGCTGATTTTATTCTATAGATCTTAAATTGATTGAATTGTCTGTAAAATAGATTCAGATGACAGGTTGTGAATTGGCGCTAGAGAAATAAACTGAATTGAATATAACTGAATTTTTGTAGTTTGTTTTCATTAATTACTATGGTAACCTGTCCTTGAGAAATAATTATTAAAATAATATTTTTCTATGTAAAATAATTATTTCATTTGGAAATATTTTAAATGATAATCTTCAGATGTTCATTAAATGTTTAGAAATTCCCTCATTGTCCTTTCTTATAACCAACTGTCATGATCTCTGCACTGATCACTGGTTAGTTTACTAACTCCATTCACCTGTCTAACTCTGCCCGGTTTTTTATCGCTGCTCACCTGATCCACCTGCTTCTGCCTCTATTTAAGCCGCTTGCATCCAATCATCAGGACCAGGTTATTCTTGTTCTCTCAAGCCAGTGGTGGGAGTGTTTTTAGAATTCCCAGTTGTTGTTTTTTTCGGGTTTCCTAATCCTGACCTGTTTCCTGATACTGACCTAATCTCTGAGCCCACCTGTTCCTGTTCTGATCTGTTTGCCTGACCTGGCTTCAGACTCCTGGACCTCAGAGCCTGCCTGTTCCTTGAGTTTTCTGATCCTGAGTTATTCTGACATCACTGTAGGTGATGGCGTTCTCTCCTATTTATATTTCTTAAAAACAAAAAAAGAAGAAGAATTCACTTTGTTAAACTTTTTTTCTACACAATAAAACGTGACTGGTGGAAGCTTCTGATGTAAAGTTTTAAGATTTTATGCAAATGTAGATTAGATTACAAAAAATATTAATTATTGAAAAATCTACTGCATATTATGATGTTAACCTTATAGAATAGATTGTTTTAATTTATTGCATGAAATAAACCTGACCATGTGTGAATCTCTTACTGTCAGGTTTCCTCTTCCATCTTGGTCTCACCAGTAGAACCAGCAGCAGAAGGAAAACCACAACCCAGACACAGACAATAGATGGCAGCACATATTTAGACAGAGGAGGAGGTCCAGTGGTTTCAGGGGGAGGGGGGGCTGGTTTCTCTGAAACACAAAGATTGATTAAATATGTGTCAGACAGATAATAGGACTCAGAGAACTGAAGGATTTGATCCTGACCTTCAACAGAGATCCAGCTGGATGGAGACTCTCCATGACCCCTGATGTTACACCTGTAGAGGCCTTCATCAGAGCTGGTCACATGGTGGAGGGTCATGTGACCTTTGGGCTCAGTCCTGATGAGGGAGCCATCTTTATAGAAAGCAGCTGGGAGGTTGGAGGGAGTGGTCTTTGTTAGACAGCTCAGAGTGGCGTCATCTCCCTCCATCACAGGGAGGACAGGACTCTGCAGGATCACTGATCCACCTCAACACAGAGACAAACTACAGCATTTCATCCATTTCCACAGAGCTTCATCAACACTAACTCCACAGTCTGATCTTACCAGTGACAGTGAGCTGGATGCTGCTGCTGGCTGCTCCCTCTCTGGACGAACACCAGTAAACTCCACTGTCTCTTTCTAAAACATAACTGATTTTACAGATAGAACCAGATGAATTCCCCCATTCCTTTCCACACTGAGTCCTGGTTCCTCTGGTTGTGTTCCTGCATACAGTCCATCCAGCAGAGCTGTTGTTCTCCTCACAGCTCAGAGACACAGAGTCTAACTGAAAGAACTGAGATCTGCTGGGACTCACAGTCAGAGCAGCTGGAAGGAATAAAAGTTTTCTAATGTTTATTCTCCAACTCTAATATTAAAATCCTTTATTCTGTCTGAAGAGTTTTAATTCTGGTAGAAATGAACCAACCTGCATCAGTTATGAGGCAAACCAGTGAAGTCAGAACTGGAAAGAATTCACATTTATTCGTTATATCTGATATTTGTTAAATTTTATATAATTTCACATCAGACCATAACAGTCATTTATTCACAGCACAAATATTTTAAAGCTGAAATTATTCTTTATCAGCACTGAGGTAAACACAGCATTACAAGATTCAATGATAGCAAACAAAAATAATCTGATTTTTGCAGAAAAATAAAGATTTATGTCTTTTATAAAGTTCCCTCTAAAGCAAGAAGCAAGCCAATGTATAAATGTAGAGAGTTATTTAATCTTTGATCAGATGAGTGGATTCTTTCTCTAATCATAGGCAGGTTCTTTACTTACAGAGCAGATCATGAAGAGATGTTTCCATCATTGTAGCTCTCACTGGTCTGACCACTGATCATGCTCTGCTGGAGGAGCTGCTGCTGAATAAAGACCAGCCTCTTCCTGGAAACTGTGGCTGTGTGTGTGAAATGGTTTGTGTTGCCTGCTGAGGACCATTTTTAGTATATTTACTAACCTTCTGAGGACCAGCAGGCCTAATGGGACCAGAGGCTGGTCCTAATGTGGGGGACCCCCATCTGTATTGTTAGGGAGACCATTTAAAGATCACCGATGGTAGACCATCACTGATCTACCAGGTTTTAGTTACCATTAGCATAAAGTGGGAGAAATAACAGCCCACCAGCCCCAAATCACCATCAGCCCACTGAACTAATGCCCACTATGTCTGATTGCCAGTCTAGTGGCGATGGTAGGCAGACTGCTTTTGCATGTGGGATTGGGATGTTAATCTCTGTCTAAGATTATCTCTCTCACAACTGATAGGAGGAAGTGTTACAATATGAAGAAACAATGTAATAATAAGAGATTCATTTTAACAACCAATCATGATTTAATTATGTAATGCTTTTATTTAAACGATTTGCAGGGATTTGTGATTAGGAAATTGATGGTGACACATTATTAACCTTATTACCATGTTCTGCACAGCTGCCTCCTTTAGATGGCGCCACTGGTCATCTGACTCTCTTCCACCAACATCTACCATCCACTACCTGATAACCATCTGCATATTCTCCTTCACTACATTAATGTGTTTTCCTTCTCAGTACTTCTATCCTATTTCTCCTTAAGGAAGCTTGATTTTAACATTTTTGGTTTGGTGTTACTCAAAGTGTTTGTTGCTTAATCAACTGGTGCTGGGACTTTAGTCCCAATGACCCGGTAGAACTGCATCAAGCAGAAGACGAGTTCTAGTATGTTCTATAGTTTAAAGCAATTTTTAGGTAATTGATATTCTATAAATAAAGTGGTTTAAGCTTCCTCATATAGAGGCAGCCCTCATTACTCAGGAAGAAGGCGGTTTAACTTGAAATCACTTCCTCAACAGAAGAAACAGTCAGATGAGAGAGAGGAGAACATCTCTACGATGTCTGCTCTGTAAGTAGGAACGATTTTAGCTGTTTTCTCTTAAGCAATCTTTCTGTTGGGAATGGTTGATTAAAATGATTTCATGACTAAATGATTTGGCTGAATTAAGTTCAAAGGAATGTAAAGATGTATTACAGGGTAAAGAAAATGTCTGCTATTTTCCTTAGATTGGAATCAAGAAATCAGCATTTAGTCAGAAGGTTGAAGATTGGATTTAATAATAATTTTGTCTTTAGGGCTGGCCTTCCTTCACTGTTCTGCAACACAACAAGGTTGGTAATTATGTATTTTATTATCTAAAATAAAATGCAGTTTGCATTTTTGGTTCTTTTGAAAATAATGTGACTGGTTGTTTTCTTTCACTCCTCCCAGCTGCTCTGACTGTGAGTCCCAGCAGATCTCAGTTCTTTCAAGGAGACTCTGTGTCTCTGAGCTGTGAGGAGAACAACAGCTCTGCTGGATGGACTGTATGGAGGAACACAACCAGAGAACAGTCAGAGTGTAAAGCTCCATGGGGGAAACCAGATGGTCTAAGATGTAACATGACCTACATTCTCCCGGATGACAGTGGAGTTTACTGGTGTTCGTCCAGAGAGGGAGCAGCCAGCAGCAGCATCCAGCTCACTGTCACTGGTAAGATCAGACTGTGGAGTTAGTGTTGATGAAGCTGTGTGGAAATGGATGAAATGCTGTAGTTTGTCTCTGTGTTGAGGTGGATCAGTGATCCTGCAGAGTCCTGTCCTCCCTGTGATGGAGGGAGATGACGTCACTCTGAGCTGTCTAACAAAGACCACTCCCTCCAACCTCCCAGCTGCTTTCTATAAAGATGGCTCCCTCATCAGGACTGAGCCCAAAGGTCACATGACCCTCCACCATGTGACCAGCTCTGATGAAGGCGTCTACAGGTGTAACATCAGGGGTCATGGAGAGTCTCCATCCAGCTGGATCTCTGTTGAAGGTCAGAAGGATCAACATCTTTCTTCCACTGTCTTGGTTTCAGAGAATTAAGTTATTTTTATTTCTTGTTTGTTCCTCAGAGAAACCATCCTTGGTCTCACCAAACCTCCCAACCTCTGTTCCTACCACCAATCCTCCTTCAGATTCCCAGTTTCCTCTCTCCTTGATCGTGTCCCTTTCATGCATCAGTCCTCTGGTTTTACTGCTGATGACTCTACTGATAAAACAAAGATGTTACAAGAAAACTGGAAGTAAGACTTTTAATTTTTACATTGAGTTTGTTTTTCCTAATCACTTTAATAAATTAGGTTTAAAGCCTAATTTCTGTTTTAATAATAGTGAAATAATAACCTATGCTGAGGTCAACGAAGCTGAATGGGATAATGTAAGACAGAGTGATGTAAGAATATTAAAGGGACGTCTATGGAGAAAAGGACCAACAGAAGGTAATGATTCTGTTTACGTGGTTTTGTTTTTAGTGACTTTCTTAGACAGATTCTGACCTGATTAATGTTAATGGTTTTACAGCTCTTCAACTGATTTAAGTGGATGTTTGTGTGGCCATGTTTTTGTCACTATGCAGGGATAAATTTCTTAGAAATATGCTACTTTTTGGGTGTTTATATGTACTTGTGGGGACCAACGACTGGTCCCTGTGAGGAGAAATTGTCCTCTTGGAGTGGGGGTTAGGACTAACGATAGTAAAACCTGATTATGTATCTTCGCTTGTATTTGTACTTACTGCTGAGAGAACCTTTTAATGTTTGGTCATTTTATATCATATATATTATATTTATAACTCAGGATGAAGTCATCATCCTGAAACCTTTCAGTGTCATGATGGGTTTCAAATATTTTGCCCACATGCAGATACAACTCAGACGCAGGGAAAAAGTTTATACAGTTTATTGAGAGAGTGGCACTCAGACAGACAAAAAACAAAGGATTCTCGGCTTGGGGAATATCCAGCGGTCAGGTGAACTGGAACCTCTAGCGGGAGATCAGAGTGGTGAGTTCAAGATCCAAGGGATTTACAGGCTAATACTGAAATTAAGCCAGATAAGGACTCACTGTTGATGTCCTTTTGTCACTCCTTGGTTCCTGTTTGTGGGGACTGTTCAGATAAGGAGAAACTTTGCTGGAGGACGGACAGGCAGACTAGTAGGCAGACTAGTCAACGAGCTTTCATGAAGTGGACTGCAAACTGAAGTGGTGAATGTTTTCCTGAATCTCAGAGAGACGAATGGGTTCCTTCCAAGGCTTGAAGGACCAGGCTTATCCAGTTGATCAGGAGATAAACCTGCCGAAGACCACAAAGGAGACAAAGGGTTAGAACTGAAGACTCAAAGAAACGAAAACTCAAACTTAGACACTGTTAAGCTAGAGGCTAGAGTACCCAATACTGGCAAACACTCTGGCGTCGAGGTGGTGACAGTCCGCTGCTCATATACTCCTCTGGTAATGACCCAACGAGCCACAGGTGCAACATTTTCAGATGCAAACTCAAACAGCTTAATCTTAATACAAACATATCTACTCCGGTCTAGTTTCTCACTCTGCTATGATCTATTATGGTCATTATTTCCATTTGCACATGAAAGTAGCTTTTTCATTTCTGCTTTCCAGTTAAATGTGTTTGTTCGCACAGATATGTGCGAGATGCTTTTTGGTTTCCTCTACTTAGTTTCATGCGTTTGAGTCATGAGCAGCAGAGCTGTTAAAAAAAAAAAAATGTGAAAAATGCTGTTAAAATATCCTCATTTAAAACGGTTAGCAACAATTCAACTTTTTAGCAGCATAGTTCATTTATTCTAGTGGTTCCAGCAAAGTTTACAATATGCCCTTTTTTTCTGACAGAAGATAATATGGATACAGATTATTCATTTCGGACAGATGATGGTTTCAGTTAAGGTAAAATATTGATCAGATAAAACAGGATGTAAAAACAAATCTATAACTGTACTTGCTAAACTAAACAACTAAAGCTCCCATGGTAAAATAGATAAACTATGTTCCTCAAATGGTCAAAGCTGAGTATCAGATCGAGTGTATCTGTACTCCTAAGAGGGGCCCTCAGGGAATACATGATGTGATTGTTGTGGCCTCTGATGTAAAGTTACTTACTGAAACAAAAAGGCCTTCAAGACTTAAATCAGGCCAGTGTTGGAGCAGAAAGGCTGACTGAGTTTTTCAAATTCGCTAATAAAATGGAGTGATCAGCAGAGTTAAATGCTGCTCTGAGATCCAATCATTCCAGCTCTGTGGTTCTTCCACAGTCTGAATTTAAACTGATGTCAATCAAGGTCCCTCTTTATACTGTGGTGAACATGGAAGCCTGACTGGAAGATGTTAAAGAGGTTGGTTCATTTACAGGAAGGTGTTTAGCTCATTTATGCATTCTTGGCTAAGCTAGTAACCCTTAGCCCGCCCATCTTTAGCGAACCTCCTGTAACTGGGTCAGCGGTAAAATGGCCGCTTTTCAGTCTATTTATCTGCAGGTAATTTAACTGTAGTCAATAAACAGTCAACCAGTTACTATTCTGCTGTAAGCCAACCTGGGATAATAGGGAGATCTCTCTGAAGACCTCCTCACCTCTGACCTAAGAATCAGAACATCTTATGGCGCATTCTGCTGCCGTCCCTCAAAGTTAAACTTTAAAGTCCCCCCTCTACCTAAAGCCTGTGGGGGGGTCTTTTGGGTTCTCAGGTGAGAACTCCTAATAGCCTTTTATGTCTCAGTCCCAGTAGAAAGCATTATCAACCATTTATAACTTTATGTCAGGTGCTATTTCAGTCCGAATTCTGGAAGTTAGGATGGTTTTTGTTGTTTATCATCCTAGATTTAAATCTATTACGTACGTTTTAGGTTTCATTCTCTTTTAAACATAATTTTTTCAAATGTGCCAACAATTATTATTATTATTATTATTATTATTATTATTATTATTATTATTATTATTATTATTATTATTATTATTATTATTATTATTATTTCACTCTCTTAGAAAAGATGCCACTTTGAGTCAAATCTTCAGGAATTATTTATTTTTTGCAAACCTGCCATTTTAGTTAATAAACTCATACAGTAGCTTTTATATATTTTAGTTGCATTTTTCCAAACTACATCCCATATATTTGGTAAAATATAAGGTTTGTTTATTTTAAACACTTAAGGGATGAAAATCACTGATTTCATTGTTCATAAGTTTTAATGATATACATGTATATTTCTGGAGGAAAGGAAAATCAATTTCTCTTAGTTTTTCATTTAGTGAAATCTAATTCAGATTAAAGTGACACACAACTTTATGTTTTATTCTATAGGATTATATTATTCATTCTTTTTCCTCTATAAGTTGCTGTTTTGTTTACATTTTCATATGTCAGAGCAACCATCACATTTTCTCTGTCTTAGTCAGAACCTCAGACATTCATGGCACAGGGACAAAGCAACATACCACAAAATCATGAAGAGATGAAGCTAATCTCTCCGAGTGGCTGCTGTGGAAATAGAGAATTTGGTTTGTGACTAAAACCTGTGCGCATTTCACACCTACTGTGTCAGACCATGTTTGGACCCTTTTCTCTCTCTGGATTTGCCTCAGTTTTCATCTCCAGGTCCGTCCATAACATTATGGAACATGGTGACAGCAGGAAATGAACAAAACCAGACCCGTCCTGTTTTTAAACAACCACAGGCCTGATAATAAACGTGTTGTTTTCCAGTCCTGAAGCCGACATAGGAAAAGACAGTTGCTGCTGAGTTTTTCTCTTTTAAAAAGATAATATTTGGTGTAGATATTTAAGGTTGGTTCTAATTTGATCAAAATTTAATCTAAAACAATCATTGTTTAGTGAAAGCCAACCAGGTTGTACATTATTGCCCTCATTAGACATTTTCCCACAGATAAAAGTCAGGGCGTCAGTGGCGTTGGATGTAGGAAATTGCCCTGAAATCGAAGGATTGACGGTTCAAGCCCGCCAGTGTACGGCAGGGCTCTTCTGTCAGTGAGACCCAGGGCAGCTGTGGCTACAATGTAGCTTATCACCGTGAGTGTGTGTGAATGGGTGAATGAATGTAGTGTAAAGCGCTTTGGTCAAGTTACCTGACTTGAAAAAAGGTGCTCTATAAGTACATGCCATTTACCATTCATGTTAAGAAAGTCAGTCTGTCAGCAGCATTTTCTTCATTGCAAGATGCAGAAAGGAATCTAATAAGAGAAAGTTATCAAGCTTTTCTTGAATAGTTGTAAGTCTATGGAAATGAAAAATAAAATAAAATATATGGTCGATCACTTTACCCTTTACTGATTGCTGCCTCCAGGCGGTTTCAGTCCTGGAGCCCCCTCCTCAGTCCAAAAAGGTTAACCATTTCTCAAACAAAAACAAATATTTCGTTAATTAAAAATTAATTTAGCACCGTAGAGAAGGAAAGCCTTATGTTGGTGCACCTCCTCCTTTTTTCCCAAAAAAGAAAAAAATTCCCCAGTGTCTCTGTCATAGTTCTTGCACACACACACATAGGGGAGCAAGTTGCGGCTCAGGTGAGTTATTAGGGTCAGGGATTCAGAGCAGATGAAAATCCTTTTGTCTTGTTTTCCCCATATTTTAACTATATATAATAGAATGTACAGTTTTGACTTCTTATTTTAACCAATTTCTCTCTGAAGCTGAGAGGTTTATTTTTTTATTTTTTTTTATTTTTTTCAATTTTTTCTTCAAAATCTGTAAATCTTCTTACCTTACCTTCTTTTTAGCCACTAACTTCTTCTCATATTGGTTTATCTTATATTCAACATTTTTGTATTGTAACATTAAAAGAACCAGATTTTCTTAGCAATTGATCAAAAATTTCTCCTTGGGCAGTTGACAATTCCCTGGAACCTTGCCTTTGTTCTACTACCATAGAACTGCAAAACCTTTCCCATTATCTACAGGTAATTTAACTCTGCCCGATACACACCAATCCCATGGGGCCAACCTGGATAACTGGGGGGATCCCACTCTAGATCACCGACGTCTCAGTAAAATTAAGTACCTTCTGGTGGCACCTACAACCTTCCTCTCAGTCTTAGAGAGAGCCTCACGTTCCTATGCGAGGTCTTTTGGTTCACAGGTGGAAAAAAACCTGAACTGCCTTTCTGCTCCCCAAAAAGAAAAGTTATCTTTTATTTGGTATGCATATTCTTTAGTATTATACTAATGCTAATGCTTTTGAAATGATTAATCTTTAATTTAGTTAGATTTTTTTCTATATTATAATTTTAATGGAGAAGAAGAGGACTTTGTTTGAGCAAATTTTCCAGTATTTGATTTCTAATAATCTTTAAATCTGTTAACAATCTGTTGTTTTGTAATTTAGTTTTTTAAATTTAACTTAAACTGTGCCGACAAAAGATTAATCTCACCGTCTCAAAAAGAATGGTTCGTTTTGATCCTCCTGCTGACCTCCAGGGAACTGGATGCCAGAAGTCCTCACTCCCTTAACCTTCTAACCGGGGTATTGAGGCTGGAAGACTGCTTCCTCCAGGTGGTACCTGACACTTCTGACAATCGCTGCCCTCAGAAAAAAATCAATCAAGGAGAATCCTGCCAACAATGCCAAATTGTTGTGGGAAAAAAGTATTCAACTATTCATCCTAGTTAAATAAGTGGAGATCAATGGATTTCACTCAGTCGGCACATTTATTCATATCTTTGCAAAGAGAGAACAGTCATCATGAAGCCCTAATGGCACAGCATTCTGCCCTGTTCTGCATGAGCAGCTTTCGTTCCTCCTTACTTGCAAAAATGGAAAGTAGTCAGAGTCAAAACAAATTACACACACTTTGATTAAACAGTAACATGTTATGAATAAACCTTGAGAAAAAAATCTGATTTCTTATGAGAAGAAGCAATGTCTGGTCTACAAACACCATCCTGCAGAGAATGGTGTGGCCTTCAAGGTGAAACAGAGTGAAAACTTTTATAGTGAGTAAATAGGATATATTAATACATGATTTAAAAAGAAATCTAAATTTTCTGACAACAGTGGGGGACAAAATAATTATTTTCAACTTGAGTTAAATAAGTATAAGATTAAGTAAAGATGTACAACAAATTCTTTAAAAATGCTAAAATGTGATTTCCTTGATCGTTTTGCTCAAGTGTACTTATGATAAACACAAATTGCTTTTCAAAGTTTTTATGCCAAGTTTGTTAAACCTGCTTTGTGAAACGGGCCTCAAATCATTTAAACTGTCCATCATTTCTGTCTCAGATTCAGCTGCAACACTAAAAGCTGCTGGGTTCAGAAGAACCTGATCTGCAACCTGGTGCTGGGTCACATTTGGACCGAGCCCACCCTGGGCTGGTTCTCCTCAGCAGGGTTGGATATGGGTCTGACCGAGTTAGATCTCCTCTCATCTCTCTGTTGTTCATCTCTCAGCATTAACAGTGTTTCTGTCATTGTGTTTTTCTTCTGTCAGATGGGATGGAAACCTTCTCTCAGTTCCTCAGGACAGAGTTCAGGGAGGAAGACATCAAGTTCTGGTCGGTCTGTGAATACAGAACCACTGATCCAGGAACAGAGCTGCTGTCCAAAGCCAGATCTATTTCTACAGCCTTGATGGAAGCAGAGGCCTCCAAGCAGGTAGGAGGGGACATGTTCATGTCTGCAGAGCTGCAGGAAGCTTTATTAATAGAACATATGTCAGTAATAAAAAAATAAAAAAATTGTGCTGTAGTTAAAAAAAGAGAATGATAGAATTCAACTTTTTATTATCATTACACTGTCACAAGTACAAAGCAAAGAAATTAACTCTGCATTTAACCTATTCCATTGTGCAGCTCCCAGGGAGCACTATGAGGTTAAGGGTCTTGCTCAGGGACCCAGAGTGGCAGTCTATGGGAGGGGGGATTGTAGAACCTCTGGATTCCCAGCGCTATATCCTAACCACTAGGCCACCACTACCATATTGGTCTGGTTCATTTACATACAGTTAAACAAGTTGTGAGCTCAGAGATTTAGTAGAGATGCAAAGAAAAGGAGTGAAGTAAGAGTATAGACAGAAGACAAAGTTTGTTAGCTGGAGTACAACACATGCCAGACAGGTTTTTAGCAAGTTTAAATGCTGCACTTTGGTCTCACAGTGCGCTCAGACTGGGAACAACATGCTTAGGTTGGTGGCATAAAGAGCTACGGTACTTAGAAAATGTCTTGCTGCAATGACTGTCTGGTTTATATCAGGCTGGTCTAATCCAGCTATTATTGCTAACTGTAGTGTTGGCTCTACTAAGCCCATAGAATAAGCCAATAAGGGACCATTTTTGCATGTTGCACAGACACCACCGTGCAGGTCCACAACAGTTGAGGGAGCAACTTTCAAGTTGTCCAGGTGTGAGTCGGCTTTATTAGATCGACTTCTGGGTTAATTCCCTACTAATAACACATTAAGTCCTGCAGATCTTCTGCTGCATCAGGAGCTGAAAATAATAAAATATACACACATGTGTAGATGAGGAGCTGAGCTCCTGACTATTAGATCAGGTTTAGATCTGGAACCAGAGTAGATAGATCACACTGATCAAGGAGGAAACTGTTTGATGACCTTTAACCTTTTGGATTCTATGTTGGGGGCAGTAATTGGTCTTATAGTAGCTATCAGAACAGTGAGAATGATAGAAAACCCAGAGCGCATTAGAGAGGAAGGAGCAGGAACCCTGAGCTGATAGAGGCAGAGGAAGGAGCATCCAACATGGAGGGAGGTCAGCAATGAAGCTCAGAGCAGAGAGACACAGATAGAGATGAAGGACACTGGCTGCTGTGATGGACAGGTTGGAATTAAAGCTTTTCTACTTCATCTATGATTTCCTGCTTCTTTAGATTATTTCCATGGGATCAAAATGACTGACAGCTCTGATCTAATGAGTAAATATATTCCTTACTTTTATATTGTGTTGTTTTAAATAGTTGACCTGCAGCTTTATTCTCTGTATTTTCTTTCTTTCTAACCAGAGTGTGTTGATGTTCTACCAGAGCTTCCATTAGAACCTCATCTACTCCTCAGTGAGGTAGTCCACCATCTGACCTCTGACCTCCAGATGCTGCCTTCTGACTGCTTCATCCAACAGGCTCTGTTTACTTTTATATATCTATATGCGTTTTTTATGTGTCTCTTGTATTTTATTGTGTTAATCAGGCACAGTCCACCATTGCTCACGATCACCTTTTTCACACTCTGGGTCTGTGGGTTTCAGAGCTGATAGAAAATAACTGATGTGTTCCTGTTTGGTCTTTGCTGCCTGATGCACCACTGATCTGTAGAGCAGCAAACAAAGAACAATAAACCACAGACTGAGAAATGCTGCAGTGGAAACTTCCAGAGAAGAACCACAGTGGCTGAAGCTGTTGAAAGGCTCTGACCTCATTAACACTTTAATAAAGTCTGATCTGATCTTTCAGGAGGTGTTTCATCTCAACATGTCACCAACCAAAATTCACTCAGATAGATTGCAGTTTAACAATTAAAATTAGGTTTTTTTACATTTTAATCACATAATCTGTAAAAGTTTTAAACTGTTTTATTTTCATCTTATTAACTCAGATTATCTGTTAGATGAAAAACTACAACCTTCTGAAATGTCATCATTTCACTCTTTTCAAAATCAGATAAACAATCAGTGGACCCTCTGTCAGATTATTATTCTTCCCCCTAGTGGTCAGATTTTGTATTACAAGAGAATTATTAGAATCTTCATCTGTTTACAGCAACAAGTAGATCAATATATTAGATTTATAAATTGTAACAAAAATCAATAGATTTCAGTTTATGGTTTTTTGTACATTATTTCTCTGCCTCAATTCCAGATGCTGGGCAGTAGTTTGTCTTAACATTTAAAAAAACGATGGTAACACCTGAAACAGTACAGTCATGGCCAAAAGTATTGAGAATGACACAAATATTATATTTTCACATGATCTGCTCCCCTCTGGTTTTCATGTGTGTATGTCAGATGTTGTCATCACATACAGAAATACAATTGCAATCATATTATGAGTAACAAAAGCTTTTAAAGACAGAATGAGGTAATTCAGCAAGTCAGAGCCTCTGCAATTCTCCCTGGCATGCTCTCAATCAACTTCTGGACCAAATCCTGACTGACAGCAGTCCATTCTGGCACAATCAATGCTTGCATTTTGTCAGAACTCCTAGGTTTTCGTTTGTCCACCCGTCTCTTGATGATTGACCACAACTTTTCAATGGGATTAAGATCAGGGGAGTTTCCAGGCCATAGACCCAAAATCTCTGTTTTGTTCCCTGAGCCAGTTAGATATCACCTTTGCTTTATGGCAAGGTGCTCCATCATGCTGGAAAAGGCATCGTTCATCACCAAACTGCTCTTGGACGGTTGGGAGAAATTGCTTTTGGAGGACATTCTGGTACCATTCTTTATACATGGCTGTGTTTTTAGGTCAGACTGTGAGAGAGCCGACTCCCTTGGCTGAGAAGCAACCCCACACATGAATGGTTTCAGGATGCTTTACAGTCGGCATGAGACCAGACTGGTGGTAGAGCTCACCTCATCTTCTCCCAACAAGCTGTTTTCCAGATGTCCCAAACAATGGGAAAGGGGATTGATCAGAGAAAATGACTTTCCCCCAGTCCTCAGCAGTCCACTCCCTGTACCTTTAGCAATACCAGTCTGTCTCTGATGTTTTTTCCAGAGAGAAGTGGCTTCTTTGCTGCCCTCTTTGAGACCAGGCCTTGCTCCAAGAGTCTCCACCTCACAGTGCGTGCAGATGCACTCACACCTGCCTGCTGCCATTCCTGAGCAAGCTCTGCACTGCTGGTAGCCCGATCCTGCAGCTGAAACACTTTTAAGAGACGGTCCTGGCGCTTGCTGGTCTTTCTTGGCGCCCTGGAGCCTTTTTGGCAACAATGGAACCTCACTCCTTGAAGATCTTGATGATGCCATAGATTGTTGACTGAGGTTCAACCTTTCTAGCTGCGATTCTCTTTCCTGTTAGGCCATTATTGTGCAGTGCAATGATGACCGCACATGTTTCTTTAGAGATAACCATGGTTCACAGAAGAGAAACAATGATGCCAAGCAGCAGCCTCTTTTTAAAGTATCCAGTGGTGTCATTCTAACTTAATTCTGACAGATTGATTTCCAGCCCTGTCCTCATCACCACCCACACCTGTGTTAATGCAGCAATCACTGAAACCATGTTAGCTGCTCCTTTTAAGGCAGGGCTGCAATGACGTTGAAATGTGTTTTGGGGAAAAAGTTCATTTTCTAGGCAAATATTGACTTTGCAATTAATTGCTGTTACACTGATCACTCTTTATAACATTCTGGAGGATATGCAAGTTGCTGTTATAAAAACTGAAGCAGTAGACTTTGTAAATATTAACATTTGAATCATTCTCAAAACTTTGGCCATGACTGTACAGTGTGTTGTGAAAGTTTTCAACGCCTTTGAATCTTTCGACCTTTTGCCAGATTTCAGGCCTCAAACATAAAGATATAAAATAGTAATTTTTTTTGTTGAAGAATTAACAAGATGAAAACAATCATGAAGTCAGACGAAATATATCAGATATTTTAAACTTTAACATATACAAAACTAAAGAGTGGGGTGTGAAAAAATAATCTGCTCCTTTCCTTTCAGTGCAGCAAACACTCAGCAGAAGTTCAGTGAGGATCTCTGAATGATCCAATGTTGACCTGAATGACTAATCAATAGAATCCACCTGTGTGTAATAAAGTCTCTGTATAAATAAACCTGCTCTGTGTTTCAGTCAAATTCTAATTCAGATTCATAGTAGAGTACATTTTTTATTTTTATTTTTACATAGAAAACAATCAAGTCAAACCTCAAGTCAAACTCAGAATCCAGATATTTACTGAACATTTCTTTAATCTGTTTAGAATATAAACAATAAATATATTCAGAAAACATGTGATTGTATCATCCTCAGATCCCCTCAGCTATTTCCAACTGTATGGGAAGTTAATTACTGATATTCACTGATTATAATTATAAAGTATCTGGTTTACTAACAAAATATTTTATTAGAAAGTGCCTTTGATAGCATCCAAGGATTCTGCCCAAATCCAGCAATAAATCAATAAACTCTCTAAGGTGATTTAAACTGCAGAAAAACTGAAACAAAGAGCTTTACATCCTAGATAGGAAAGACTATAAACAACGAGAAATGAAAGTATTTCTATGAGGTAATGAGGTCAAGAATACAACAATGTAAGAAACTAAATTAGAAGAGAAAAAAGACACAGATTAAAAAACCCAAAGAGGATAAAAGAGGTTTAAAACCTTAAAGGATTTTATAATAACCTGTAAAATATTCAGGCAGCCAATGGAGAAACCAGGCCCGTGGTGATGCTCTTTTCCATGACTGTGTCCAAACGTTCCTCCCTAACCCCTACATAGGGAACTGTACGCCATCTTAGACCAGGGGCTGGACGTCCACTGGATGAACATTTTCCCACAATGCACCTGAAAGTAGGGATCATCCATGGTCCCTAGGTGAGCAGATATATCCCAGAATGCTTTGCAACAGCTCTGCTTGCAAAGCATCATGGGATTAGTTTTAGGGGTGAGAAAGAACAAAGATGGTGGCGGCGTTGTACGGGGAGGCGGAGTCACGCCACCAACAGGGAGTGAAAAGCAGTGATCATCATTCTGAATGATCAGTTCACTATAAAGTGGTCTATACAGTGATGGAGGGGTCAGAGGTATACATATTTACAGCTTCAGTGAAATGTCCAAATGGCCATATAAAATGAGCAAAAGAGAAAAAACAAAATTAATCAATTCCACAATTAATGAAAGCACATCCCTTCAGTCCATTCACCCCCAGCTGGGGTTGATTAAAGGTCCCAAGCAAGTTCCCTTTAAAGTGCTTGGTGCAGTGCAGGTCATTGACTGACAAAAATCAGAGCAGAGCGGAAAACAATATTGTTCGTTGGCTGCAAAAAACCTCCTACCAGCCTGGCAGGAGATCCAAATTCTTCATGCACCCAAAGTGCAATCTTTCTTCAAGCTCTAGGCCTGGACCTTCAGCTCGCCATCAACACCTGGCCTGAATAATAAAACAGGACCATTTTCTCAATATATATATAATCAAAAACATTCGAGTGTGCACACAAGTTGAGTAAGCGGCACTCTTTGCACTACAGATAATTCTAAAGTTCCATATAAATTACATCCATGAAAAATTCAATAAATATGCACTAAATAAATTAGTATGAAATTAAATATAAAGAAAACCTAATATAAAAAAGTGCTCAATACATATTTAAGGCACCTCATTGTTCACATATGGGTTCTTCAAAGCTAGTCTGGGCATCTGTTTGTATAATCAGTAATATAGCAGCTAGACAACAAAGACATCAATAAGCTAACATTAAGCCACACAGGAGAAACACTCACCAATTCCGTAGTTTGTATGTCAGACAATCAGATTTTTTTCCATGTCATCTCGGCTAAGTAGTTAGCTCCTGCAGCTCTGCTTCTCCCAACATGCCATAATCTGTCAAACTTCCCCACTCCAACTAATATACCCAGCTGATAGGCTGTTGCACATGTGACCCTGATACTCAACAGCAATCGGCTGTGTAGCAATGAGAGGATGGAAGTGAAAAAAATACACAGATATGATCACTGGGATCTTTCTTCATTATCTAAACATGTTACAGGAAATCACTGGGATTTACTCCCGGGTTACAACAGCATTCATTTCTTGAGTTCCTTCCCCAGCTGCACCCACTGTAGTTCCATTCACAGTATCCGCTGATGTCCCTGGCTCTTGATTTTCATTAACCTGAAAAGTCTTTTTGAATATTTTCAGGGCACTTACAGACTGACTGGCCCTCCTGGTTACATCCAAAACACTTCATAGTTTCCGTTGCCTCAAAAATTGTGTAATCAAAGCCATCAACCTTAAATTTCTTCATCAAACTGAGTTCCTTAATATCATTTTTGAGAATCATAAACACTTGCCTTCTAAAAGAAACATGTTT